ACATCATAAGGTTCTAGAGGCCAGGAAAACATATAAACGGCTAGTTAAGATATGGTACATCATAAGGTTCTAGAGGCCAGGAAAACATATAAAGGGCTAGTTAAGACATGGTACATCATAAGGTTCTAGAGGCTAGGAAAACATATAAAGGGCTGGTTAAGACATGGTACAGCATAAGGTTCTAGAGGCCAGGAAAACATATAAAGGGCTAGTTAAGACATGGTACGTCATAAGGTTCTAGAGGCCAGGAAAACATATAAACGGCTAGTTAAGACATGGTACATCATAAGGTTCTAGAGGCCAGGAAAACATATAAAGGGCTAGTTAAGACATGGTACAGCATAAGGTTCTAGAGGCCAGGAAAACATATAAAGGGCTAGTTAAGACATGGTACAGCATAAGGTTCTAGAGGCCAGGAAAACATATAAAGGGCTAGTTCTCTGGGTAGTTGTATTTATCATTAAACAAAAGTTCTTTCTGTTGAATGTTAAGAAACATTGATGGCAAATATGAAGCTATGACATTTTCTAGATGTACTCTAAATCAGTGGTTCCCAAGCTGTTTTCGTCTGAGGCTCTCTTGGTGTGAATAGAAAAGTTTCAGCCCCCTCCAAATATAACTTTAACATGGTGATTGAAAAACATTACCGTAGTAAAAACAATAACATCTCCTTTCGAAATACTGTATCATTTAATTTATTCAACGTAATTTGTATCGGCTTATTGTTTATTTAGAATTAAAATTAATTCATCATCTTTGTTTTCGGCACATTTTTTGACGGCCCCACTTTGGGAAACACTGTTCTACATGTCTACTATTTTTTAAAGTTTTTTACACAGATTCATTCCTCTTGTAGGGTAATATGCGCAGGATGGTCAAAATGAGCTTTACAGTACTTATTTTATTTAAGACTGACACTTGAATTATGAAGTAATATCCTGACATCAGTTGTTGTATATACGCTCAATAAAACAATTGTTACGTCTCCGTTCGTCAGTTAATTTTCCGTAAAAATTCTTCCCGAAGAATTTT